GTCAAAAGTCCTCAAGTCTGAGCTGCAGGCTGCTCTGGCCCTGCAAGGTTCGATGGGAGGAAAGCAGCCCCTCCAGGACCTGTCCTTGTCAGCGCAGGTCCACAGCAGGTAAGGATCTCAGACTTGTTTCAAAGTCAGGAGATAAATTACCAATTAAGAAACATTTTTCAAGGAAATACAAAATTGTGCCTCCCTGGGGAAGACACGGGATGGGATAAACTTTCCTCACTAGGTGCAACACTTGTTTAGGAGACATCTCCGCCCTCTACTACCACGTTAATTAGCATTCAGTGAATATAGAACTTGCTAAAATTACATTAATTAGAACACAATGGATACAGACCCACTGTGGCTTTCAGGAGGGGTGAGATCCAGAAAACCTCTCAAGGGTGGTAGAAAGTCAAAAGATCATCTGAGAGAAATGTGTAAAGTATTTGGGGGAGCAGAAAGGGGACTAGAAATAAAGGCATGCCTGCCTCTGAGTCTGGGGAACAGGAATGGTTAATTTAATTGCCCCCCTGTTCCTTCAAGATAGATACAAGCCCCATTTTACAAACATAGAAAATGGGACTCAGACACAAAAAGTGGCAAAACCAGGAGTTCTGGAGCGCTGCCTCCCCCTAAGAGATAAAAGGTAAACAGTCAGCTGCACTATTAATTTGGAGAACAGGAGGTGGTGGGGAGAGCAGGGAGCAAGGGGAATTCCTAGGGCAGCTTCTGGCACAGGCTCAGCAGTGCGATGCCTCAAGCTGGCAGGAAACACTGCAATTGTAACTCTGTCCAATTGCGGAGGATTACTGTCATGGCAGTCACCCTCCCTGGGGTGTGACTGCTGGGAGAGGCAGCTCTCTTCGGGAACCCAATGAGAGGCACTGAAAGTACCTATCTGTCCTTTCAGATGAAAATTTTGTCTCACTTTTCTTTTTCTTTTTTCCTTTTTTAAAACGTTTTTATTGATTTCAGAGAATCAGAACAGAGAGGGAGAAAGACATAGAAACATAAATGATGACCATCATTGATCGGCTGCCTCCATTCCACTCCCTACGGGGATTGAGCCCACAATCCCCTGACTGGGAATCGAACTGTGACCTCCTGGTTCATGGATAGACACTCAACCCCTGAACCACACCAGCTGGGCTCTTCTTTTCTTCTTCTTCTTCTTCTTTTTTAATTAAATAATTACAAAGTGTACAAAGTACAACATGTAACAAAGTAAAGATGCCAAAGGCTAAATACAAATAAAACAGTACAAAATACAGATATAAAGCCATTATGATACAAGCCATTATCAGACATGACTACATATTCCATCCTATAATCTCCTAAATCAAAGCTTTTAACTGTCTGGATTCATATGTGATTGCATTCTTTCCAATATGTGCTCTTTCCTCTTCTAGGGGTTGTTCGATAATGGCAGGTACATTCCCGCCATGAAGTTCACAGTGTTCTAGAAACTGAACACATTCTTGAGTAACACTCTCACAAAACATGATCATGTGTTGTGACATGTTCTGTAATAAAGACAAGAAGCGTCTTTTGGCATAATACCAGGTATCAGTTCCAAGTTTTTTATTATAAGGTTCCAAGCTTTTGATAACTCGAGAAATCCCAAAGTCATCATTTCCTTTGGTGCAGTAAAGCGTCCCTATCAGCAAATCCACAGATTGCAGGTTTTCTCATCCGGGTCATCATAGGAGAGCTGATCTCCCTCCTTTTCAGTCTTCCTCATCAACTCCTCAGCTTCTTCATTTTGACTTGTCATAATGTATGAAACACAGAGGTGAGCCAGTACAATAGCACTGACATTCAGGATGTTGTCATAGTGCTTCTTGACTACGGGCTCATAAAAACCGATGGCGTCTTTGTGTTTGTTTTCATGAAGAGGACATGAGCCACATTCAGCTTCCACACATCATGATCATTGCAGAATTCCACAGATTTGCGAAAGATCTCTTCTACATTGAATAATTTTCAAGGTTCCAGTAGATTTTCTGTCTGGGCCAACAATACGAGAATATATGTCTCCGGGATGTCATCATATTCATTCACTGCCTTCTTGACATCTTCATTGTCTCTATCGTGTCTTGCTTCCTGTACTTCTATGGTGAGTTTCCAAAGCTGCTCAGTCAGCATCCCGCTAGTCCATCAAGCGTAATAAAAGCTTCTTCAGGAACTGTCTGGCAAGTGAGCACAGCACCCAAGAAGTCACAGAGATAGGGTGTGAGAAACTTATAAGTCAAGTGGCATTCTCCGCTGGGACATTTGCTGCCATGTCAAAATACTCACATTTGCAGTGGAGCAGCGACAGGTTGCCAACGTCTCTGGAGGAAACGGGTTCCGTTGGAACAGAAACTGTAGTTTTTCAAACCCTTCTGTAGGCCTGGCCTCCATGTTCATTAACGCCTGGTTGTGCGGGGTCTTCCTCTTCCTCTGCCCTTGGTGGCATGTGAGGGCTTCCTGGACGCCTTATAGTTTCATAGTTTCTCAGTTGGTATTCTATGGCCGCCTCGAGGTTGAAGGCTTCCACCAGCACAGTCTGGTGAAGGACCACAGTGTTGCCAACCCTGCCAACATCAATGTCCTCAGTGGTCATGCCCACACTGGTGGACGCCCCGCTCCAGTCAGCGATGTGCTTCAGCGCGGGAGCATATGGCCAGCAGCTGCAATAGGCCCAAAGCCAGGTTGCAGGAAAGGTTAGGCCGTAGCCTGAGGCCTGCAGGGCTGTAAAGAACTTGGAACGAGCAGCTTTATACTGTCCCCCTTATAAAGCAAACAACCCAGGTTGCCCTGGCCATCTGACTGGCTCTCACCGCCTCAGGCTTCTCCCCCTCCCCCACTCAGTGGCTACTCCAGCAGGCTCCTGGCCCCAGGAAGATGGCCTCGCTGCGGTAGGCGGGGCTGTGCAAGAGGAGGAAGGCAACCCGGGTCTCCGGATGAAGGCGGGCCTTGGATAGGGCCGGGCACAGAGCACTGGGCCGCCACTGTGAACCACTGCTGCGGTAGCAACAGCCCAGCAGGGACAGGCTCCTGGCTCTGCTGCAGCTCTCTCCGCACCGCAGCCCCGGTACACACACCCCTCTGGGCGCAGCCCCGCCATAATTGCCAAAGTGGTTGTGCATCCTAGTTACCAAGGCAACAAGCCAACTGGAAACGGAAAGCCCTTAAGAATGTTTGGGGGCTTTATTTTGGGGGGTTTTTTTGGTGTTTTTTTTTTTGCATGTTCCCAAAGGTCCTTTTAGCGGAAGGACCATAGTAGGATTAGGAAGAAGTCACTAATGTAGGGTCTTCATATCTGGTCTCACCCCTGAAGAGTCCAAGAATGTGAGTGTCCTTAGTTTGTGAGGGGAGAGGAAATGCCTCCAGGGAATGCCTAGTCCAGGGGTAGGCAAACTTTTTGACTCGAGGGCCACAATGGGTTCTTAAACTGGACCGGAGGGCCGGAACAAAAGCATGGATGGAATGTTTGTGTGGACTAATATAAATTCAAAGTAAACATCATTACATAAAAGGGTACGGTCTTTTATTTCAATAGTTTTATTCGTTTCAAACGGGCCGGATCCAGCCCGCGGGCCGTAGTTTGCCCATGGCTGGCCTAGTCTCACTTTTCATTTAATTCCTTATATTTAAATCCTGGAGGAAGGTATTTATTACTGTATCCATATTATAAAAGTCAGGCTCAGAGAACTGACTTGCCCAAGGTCACAGTGAGATGAAATAAAATGTAAAAGGTCCGTCCTGCAGTGATAGGTAATGACTAAATTGAGTTAAAATATCAAAATCAAAATCAGACTCGTTCCTAAAGAAGTGGAAACTGAGGTCCTGAGATGCCACTTTCGAGGGGCTGAGCTAGGGGCAGAAGCCCGGACTCCCGCCTCATGGTCCACAGGCCTCTCTGGCTCCTCTGAAGCAGACCTGCCAGCATCCAGGTGTGACTTCCAGGGCCAGGCATGGAATTCCAAAACGGAGGAAAGAATCTTACAGAGCTAAAGCCCCTCCTTTAAGATGGTTCCTCGTAGCATGTTAATGTAATATAATATTTAAATATTATGACATCAAATTAGGGACCATGCTGCAAAACCTTTTTTGTTTTTGTTTGACATCCTGACATCCTTTGAAATCAAAGTTCCTTTTGAAAATGAAATTAAGTCAACAAGCACCTATGAGTTGTAAAGGACTGTTCAAGGCACTGAAAGTATATAATAAGTTTATATATCTGCCTTAATGGAATTTTTAAATAACTGTTGGATTAGAGGAAGCAGCCAAAAAAATAAATGTACTAGGGCAGCCTGGACTGAGCCACCCACAGAGTTCTAGGGAGCAGAAGGGGAGACTTCATGGAAAAGGCACTAAGATCGATCCTGAAGAGTGGAAACAATGGGAAGCTCAGTGTGCCTGGCAAAATCAGTTCCTAGCATTGGGAGAGAAGGAAGAGGTGAACATATTAAGTATAGAAAGGTCAATAGGGTCAGATGGGGTCAGTTGGGGTCAGATGTGGAGGGCTTATGTGGCACACTAGGAAGTGCACAGCATGTAGAGTGGACAAGAGGGACAGAGCCCGGTTGGGGGTTTTTAAGCATAGAGACTGCCCGATTAGAGATGGGTTTGGGGCCGTTTACACTCTGACAAAAGCACATGAAAATGGATTACAAGGAGAATGAAAACAAAAGGGAGGTGAGTTATGGTTAAACTAAGTCTCTCTAAAATACTTTCCTCCTCAAGGATTTCTACTATGAAAGGAAAACAAAATTCAGTTTTTTAAGAAAAGACAAAACTTGAGGCTCCACAGTGAACCTAAAAAACAAACATCATGAAAAGCGAAAATGGCACAAAATAGGCCAAACTTTGACCAATAATAATATTGCATGTTCCTGCCTGAATCTTAAATATTTTGTGTTTAAAAAGGCTTTACTTATCTACTCCCATCACTCAAAAACAATATGAATAGGAATAAAGCCATCCAAAAACCAAACAAACAAAATGACTCACTGTCAATTTTGTGTAAGGTATTGAGATTTCTGAGTAATAGTCCCTCAGGTTTGACTAGACAGATGAGTAGAAATGGGAGGGGAACTGGAGTGGAGGGAGGGGCACAGATTCTTGTTCTAGGTCTGGAGAACACAGAACAAGGTCCAGACTGTTTAAAACACTGTATGTTTACTGCTTCCAAGCAATACTCAAATAGAGTATTACCCTGAATACCCCAGAACAACTTCAAGTTCCCTTAGAGAACCAAAAACAGACGCCACTGACACCTGGAACTGAGTTTTCCATTTTATCTTCTTCCCACTGGCAAATAATCAAGATGGCTGTCGGATTCTTTGATTCTTTGCATTTTGAAATTCATGTTGGAAGGAAACAATATTTAATATGAGGTCGATACATTTACTTCGGAAATTAAGAAATGTGGATCATTGTATCTCCTAAAGAATCAAAAATTGTCTTGACTTAATCAGGAGGTATTGACATGGTACTGAACGTGGAGTACTCTCGGTAAGTAGGTACAGAACGAATCCAGCATAAGACCTGAAAGTCTGCATTATACAACTGCAAACCCACGTGTCTGTAAGGCTGGGACTGGGTTGAGGCAGGAGGTGAAAAAGATAACAGCCACTACCAGCTCACCAAAAACAAACAGAGGAACTCATCCACAAATCCCAATATCAAAAGACACAAAATTAAGGTAAGAGGCATACTGGTTGAAGATTGAAATAATAGAGGGAAGTGGGGTATAAATTCTACATATAATGAGCTGAGCTAACTAATCTCTTGGCAAATGGACACATAGCTCTGAATCTCAGCCAAATCAACGGCTCCGGGCAATCTGCCAAAGCTGAATTCCTTAGTCTGGCATCATAAAATGATTTGCCTGTCACACTTACAATTCCAGTGCCTCTGGATTCAGCTACCCGCTGGGCACCCCTGGCAGTTGCCCAGCAGAATACATCTGAACTATCATTACTGTCAAAACATGTGCATTTGACAAACACTACAGAAAAACGACACCCATTTCTTAGAGCAATATTAGTTAACAGCTACAAAGTGGTGTTATAAAGGAATTACCACGTCTGTTGCAGTAACAATTAACAAAGAATTAATAATCTTCATAGTGTGAACCCGCAAGCTGCTCCTTAGTATTCAATAGACACAGGTCAAAATGTCACTTAATTTACCTGCAGCTACAAAGGTGAGTCCAAAGCAGAGAGGTCTTGCCAAACTCAGCAAAGGCCGCCCACAGTGGAGATGCCCTCTGAGCTTTCTAATGAAATGCACGATGCCGGGGTGCTTAGAGATGCTTCTCAGAGGTGCCCTGCTCATTACGGGACAAACCCTATCCCCATCTGCTATCCGAGATGTCTTCCACACATGGTGTGTTTTCAGAATGGAGCCGTAACATGCAAGGCTGCCTGTTATTTATAAAATCTGAAATCTTTCTAGTCAGAGTCAGGAATCAGAAAAGAATGCACAGTCCTAGCCAGTTTGGCTCAGTGGAGAAAGCATCAGTCTGTGGACTGAAGGGTCCTGGTTCAATTCTGGCCAAAGGCGCATGCCCAGGTTGGAGGCTCAACCTCCAGTAGGGGGAGTGCAGGAGGCAGCCGATCAATGATTATCTCTCATCATGGATGTTTCTATCTCTCCCTCTCCCTTCCTCTCTGAAATCAATACAAATATATTTTTTCTGAAAAAGAAAGAAAGAAAGAAAGGAAGGAAGGAAGGAAGGAAGGAAGGA